GAACCTAGGAAATGGAGGTTGCAGTGAACTGAAATAGCACCACTGCACTGCAGCCTGGTGACAGAGTGAGACTCCATCTCAAAAAAACAAAAATAAAAAACTAAGAAATAACAGGTAGAATTAATTTTAATATATTTTATTGGGTGTCTACATTGAGCTGCAATGAATCCAAAATATTATCATTTCAACATGTAACCAGTTTTTTTAAAAACATTAATGAAGTATTTACCTCCATTTTTATACTAACCCTCCTAAATCTGATATGTTCTCATAGTCCATCTCAATTTGGGTGCTAAATTTTAATCAGAAATGTTTGGTCTGTATTTATATTTCATAATATTCAGAGTTGAAAAAGTAAACTCATTCACATACCCAAGGTATTTCAAACAATAAATTATGGGATATTAAATTTAAATTTAATTCAGATTAAATTAAAAAATCAGCCCCTCAGGTGCTTTCGATATATTTCAAATGCTTACCAACCACATGTAGCTAGTGCATTGAATGGTAAGCACCTGCAAATCTACTATCAATATATGCAAAGCCCGAAAGAGATAAGCACCACAACAGGTACTACAGGATGAGGCTTAGAAACATAACCCTTCTCTCCAGGGGTGGAGGGTAGGGCATGGCATGGGACATAAACAGACAGAAACAACTTAAGGCAGGTTGTGACGCATGCTAAAGACAGGGAAAGGAAAGAATGCCAAGAAGCAAAGGGCATGCACAAAGGCAGGCTGATGGGAGAGCTTGCAAATACGTGTACACTAATAGTCATGACTAGGCATATCTCCAGAATGATGGGAAATAAAGTTGAAAAGGGGGGCTTTGAGCAGTCTGCTGGTAGCCTCAAATAGCAGGCCAAGGAGTTTATTCTAAATGCATTGTCCATGAAGGAAAAGTCTCTGGAGAGAAGAATGGGTCTGAGCTGTGTTGTGGGAAGATTTACCTGGCATTGATATGAGCAATGAATCAAAAAGGACCAGTTAGCTATTGCACTAGTCCAAACAAAACATAATTTATAAATGGCGGAGGTGCTAGGAAAGAAAAGTAGACTTTTGATAAGTGTGTACAGAAGGGCCTCAGGACTTGGCAATGTAGGGAATAAATCAAAGAAAGGGAGGAGTCAGAGTTCTGTAGCAACTGGCCAGGCACAGAGTCTCATGCCTGTAATCTCAGCATTTTGGGAGGCTGAGGTGGGTGGATCACCAGGTTAGGAGGTCAACACCAGCCTGGCCAACGTGGTAAAACTCCGTCCCTTACTAAAAATACAAAAATTAGCCAGGCGTGGTGGTGCATGCCTGTAGTCCCAACTGCTTGGGAGGCTGTGGCAGAAGAATCGCTTGAACCCAGAGGCAGAGGTTGCAGTGAGCTGAGATTCCACCCCTTCATTTCAGCCTGGGTGGCAGAATGACACTCTGTCTCAAAAAAAAAAAGATTTCCGTAGCAACTAAAATAAGGAGTGTAGAAGAAAGGCTGGAGGCAGAAAGCTATTTCTTGTATATTTGCATATAAGTGTTTTAAAAGAAGACTAGAATATATAGCTGTGGGGCCGAGGAAGACCTTTGTTCGGACAGACATGAAAAAATATCACAATCTATTTATAGAGCTGTCCAATTAGCAGAATGTGCAACTTTGTGAGAATAATTGTACAGCATACAATTCTAATAGTGGGGGGTAGGCCCCCAGTAAATTTAATTATGGTACTGTTCATCAGGAAGCAGTGTAGTTCTTTAAGATATTGCCCTTTTACCATAGCCTGGGAGGTTGAGGCAGCTGTGAGCTGGGATCAGGCTACTGCACTCCAGCCTGGGTGATGGAGTGAGACCCTGTCTCCAAAAAAAAAAAAAAAAAAAAAAATATTGTTCTTGAAATTATATTAAGAAATGTGGGAAACTACGCTCTGTATATCCTTAAATGAATAATTTAAAGGATTTTTGGAAGATAAGACTCTAATTATAATACAATAGAATGTGCGCCTACATGCTGTTCAGCACGGAAACTGTGGGTGGACACAGTGGGCTGCTATCAGGTGCGGGTGATCTCTGGAGGTGCGACTGAGGGCAGCAAGGAGACTCACGTTTTCTATTTTGCTATTGTTTGAATTTGCTATGGACAGCATGTTATTTTCACTTTTAAAGAGGGAGAGAAAGGAAAGAGCAAAATATGTATTTATATACCCAGAACAATGAGTGAAAAGAGGTACATAAAAAGTTGTCTGTGAGTCATTTTTATTTTCTTATTTAGACTTTTTAACATCCTAGAGTAAATGCATAATCCTTCTACAACCAGAAATAACATCATGAAAAGAAATAATCTATAGTACCAATGGTACAACCAATTTCAAATCTCTTTCCAAGGCCAAAGATTATAGAGTTGGGATATTGTTTAAAGAGTTTTAGATCCAATTTCTTTTGCTTCTTCAGGGCTCATGCTCACTTTTATTGCTACTGAAGCTATTTCCACTTTTTAAAAATGATTTCCATTTGACATAGCCAAAAAGGAAAATTGAGGCCAACCACAAGGCGAGTCTCCCTGAGAGAAGACAAAAAGCCTCTGTAGCCTGTGGAATGAAAACTCCACCAGCAGAACATGACTCTTTTGTCATGAATGACTTCAATTGCTGGTGGACAGAAATTTTTATGAGAACAAAGAGCATCAGAGCAATTTCAGAGCCCTGGTTGTCATTACAGGGCAAGAATCCTAGTAACTTTATATTACAATGATGGGGACAAAGAACAAGGTGTCCCATTCACCACAAGCCTCCTGTAACCAGAGGGTCTCAGGTCCTTGTAGAGCCTTTCACTGAAGTGGAAATGAGAAGAACTCTTAAGGAGTGGGAAACAGGCTCAGAAGCAGGTAAATCAGCAGCAGCCACAGAAATGTCCGAAATGGGTAGAAGGGATGAAAAGATGCCATCTGATCACACACCAATGGCAAGGCACGCGCTAAATCAGTCCTTTCTGTCTAATGCTCTTGTTTTTACTAAACAGTGAAATACCCAAGGAAATACCAGTTGGGTCTTAAAGACAATTTATAGCCCGTTGGCCTCATTGCACCTGGCTGTTTTGACAGCAGGTTTCTTCAGTTTATAGCAGAGATCCTTGTCTACACTGTAAGCTGTCCCTAATGCAACTAGACTTTTGGAAAAAATGTATAGCTCAGAGGCAAATCTCTCCCTTCCATAGACCCCTCCTTCTTTTAATGAAAACCAAAAGCCTCCTGCTGGCAGCAAAGCCTCCTCCTCTGCAAGGGAAATTACAGAGCCCTTGGCAGTGACAGGGCCAGCCCCAGCACCACAACCTAAGTGGGGTGTGCCTGCTTCTGGGCACCGGATTAAGGTCTCTTTCTTTCCCCCTGCCTAGGGGCTAATGACTGCAAACAGCAGCCTTCTTGTTCCAGGCCAGGATATTTGGGAGTCAGTAACTGGAGCTCCCAGCTTCCAGGTCACACTAAGAATGTCTGGGAGCCTTGTAACACCCTGGCTTAGGATCACAAGGCAAAAGGCTTCAGCAAATGTTCCCCACCACCTACCCTCCCATCTAAAACATGAAGGGAGTTTTACTAAAGGCTTGGTTATTCACAACTGGCAAACCTTAACTTGTTTTTTCTCAGCAAGCAGTCTGGTTTGGAAGTCACTGCCTCAGAGCCCACGGGTCCTCACTGTCATACACGAGTGAAAGGCACTGCCCCCAACCATGCGCTGCCTTGCCCCACCCTTGGTTTGTTTTCTTTGTAAGACTCGGGATTTTATTCTTTTTTGCTCCCAGAAAAGACTGGACCAAAAAAATAATTTGTAACAGGTGACACACATTCCGGAACTGAAGGCAAACTGTCCTCTTTTAGGAATGAGCTTATGGTGGCTGATGGCTGACATTTCCCTGTGTGGTGAAAATGGACAAAGAAGTGAGTAGGGGGATGAAAAGGTAATGGAGAACAGCCCCTCCTGTCCCTTCATTTCATGGTTCACAGACATTCACTGACATTGAGACCCTCCCAAGGGGAAGCTCATGTAACCAGCCATGAAACAAGAAACCACCAGGCTACAGGGCCTGCCTGCCTCACCACGTGGGTCCTCCCCCAGACACCAAAGCCCATGACCCTGGGTCAGGCCCAGACTGCAGCCACTCTGGGGGCTGCCCCAGACTGAGAGAGCTCTGGCCTGCAGGTTCCTCTGACCACACATCTGGGATGCCACCCTCAGACTTCCCAGGGCCTAGGCTTGTTAGGGCCAGCATTCGACTTGACGAAGGGGCCTGGGCCAATGGTCTCTGAGGGGTGCAGGGTTGGAGGAGAGTAGACGGGGAGAGGAGACTCCAGGCCAAGTGATTTCCACAGAGCTAGAGATGGCCAGAAAAAGGTTTCTCCTTTAGAACTCTAAAGGAGAAACCCATGGACTGAAAGGGAGGAAGAGAATAAAAATCTCCAGCTGGGATGAGCCCAGGTCCCTAACACAGAGAAATGAATGTAAACGGATCAGCCAGGTGAGAAGGCCGGCCTGAGACAGGAGCCTGATGCAGAACCAGGAGAGGAGAGAGGTGCAGGCAAGCCAGGGAAACAAGCCAGGGAAACAGGGACCATGGGGTAGGACAGATGATAGCAGCAGCAAACGAGCAGAGCTGGAAGCTGGCCGCGCCACACACAATGCTCTCCCTGCCACCTGCCCCAGGTGGGGGTGGGGGTGGGGCGCATGGAACTGCTGCCTCGTGGCTCTGCCCAAAATCTATCTCACATTTTGCAGGGCCTCATTTAGCATGGAGTTCAGGGGCTACCATCCCTTCCACCTATACCACGGCCACTTGAAAGTGGCCAGAAGGACACCTCACAATGACAGGCAGAAATGCGGAGGGAAACCAGCGTCATCCTGACTTATGGATACTTGCACTCAACAAGATAATTACTTTTCTACACATATATTAAGAAATCACTGCCATGATTGATGTACTAAGCAGCAAGCATCACTGTTCTCCATGGACTCTACTAAAGTGGTTATTAGTTACCTTTGGTATTCCGCAACTCTCAAGCCAGTCTTGGTAGATGTTTTCAACAGACAACCCAAGCCTTTAGAAATAAAACAACAAAAAGTAAAGGATTAAAAAGTGACAGAGCACTCATTATACAGACTGGTTCCCTCTAACTGGGCACAGCACAGCATTAATATTCCAGAAGTGCTTGTGCTTTAAAGAAAGGACAATGCTCCCCTGGGTTAAAGGGCAGAAGGGAGCCCAGTCACATGACTCAGCTTCTCTTCATCAACAGCAACATGCACAATGAAATCTAAACACCTGGGCACAGCATCACCAGTGCTTTCAGTGCTTTGAAAGGAACGATTTGGTTGGGAAAGCCAATTTTGGGAGGATAAGTCATATTCATAGCATACATCAGGCATGGATGCTTCCTGGAGAGCAGTGAAAAAAGTGAAATCTGAACATTAAGGAATTTAGTACGTCAACACAAAATCTGTACTTTATAGGAAAGATGGACTACAAAAAGCAAAAACAATACAAATCGCTATCAGACCACAAAGAGGCTCAAGTGCAAGGAATGAGGGCCATTTCCACTGTTTGCTTTCGAGCAGGCCCGTTCTGCTTTATTTGAGGCGTTATGATTGCTTGGTATGTCCTACCTAAAGTCAGCTGAAATTCTTTTTTTTTTTTTTTGAGATGGAGTTTCACTCTTGTTACCCAGGCTGGAGTGCAATGGCGCGATCTCCGCCCACCGCAACCTCCGCCTCCCGTGTTCAAGCAATTCTCCTGCCCCAGCCTCTCGAGTAGCTGGGACTACAGGCATGCACCACCATGCCCAGCTAATTTTTATATTTTTGGTAGAGACGGGGTTTCATCATGTTGACCAGGATGGTCTCGATCTCTTGACCTCGTGATCCACCCGCCTCGGCTTCCCAAGGTGCTGGGATTATAGGCGTGAGCCACCGCACCCGGCCAAAAGTCAGCTGAAATTCTTTTGCTTTCATGCCCTGCTGACTCAACTACTCCTTTCACTAAGTCTTCAGTATATTTAGGATCACCAGATCTCGGGCTGTGTCCTCCTGTCTTCCTTGGCTAACGCAGCTTAAAGTAGACCCATCCTCTCAACCTCTTCCAGATAACTCTTGCTTATACCCAGGATCTCTGCTTACAGAGAGGCCTCTCTTGACCTCCTCCCAGGCTGAGGCAAGGCCTCCCCAGTGCTTGTAATATCTGTCCCCCTCTCTATTCTGTGTCTCACAGCATCCACCCCAGCTTGTGACTGAGTACTTGTTCAACTACTCGCCGTAGTTACTGTCTCCTCGCTGGACTGAAACCATCTGAGATCTGATCCCTGATATGAAATAGGATCCTCATATTTTTTATTTCAATGAATGAATGCACATTTAATTATAGACTCATTAAAAAGTATTCCTTACTCGGGAGGCTGAGGCAGGAGAATTGCTTGAACCCGGGAGGCAGAGGTTGCAGTGAGCTGAGATTGCGCCATTGCACTCCAGCCTGGGTAACAAGAGTGAAACTCCGCCTCAAAAAAAAAAGTATTCCTTTAAAAGATAATATTCACATTTCCAGCAAGATACTTCCAAGTTGTTAAGCTCTGCATCTTTTAAGTCTTAATACAGCATATATAAAAGTATGTAACCATATAGACCTGCTCTCTCCTCCCCTTTTGGAATTCTAGAAGTCATGAAAAGATAAGAGTGTTACACACAGGTAAGGAGGCTGAAGGCCAAGTGCCTCCCTCCTCTGATCCTGTGGGTGGTGTTGCAGATGAGGGAGTAGTGAGGTAGAAAGGGAGGGAGGGGTTGGCTTGGGTAGGGGTGGAGGATAAGGGGACTGACTGATTTTCTCTTCCTTTTCTTCCCGACACTGGTCACTCATTGATGCACCTCATCCTCCCTCGCCAAGGGCAAAAGGAAAGGCTGCTTAAAAAGGCAATTGCTGGCTGGGTGCAGCGGCACACGCCTGTAATCCCAGCACTTTGGGAGGCTGAGGTGGCCAGATCTCGAGGTCAGGAGATCAAGACCATCCTGCTAGCATGGTGAAACCCCATCTCTATTAAAAATACAAAAATTAGCTGGGCGTGGTGGTGCATGTCTGTAATCCCAGCTACTCAGGAGGCTGAGGCAGGAGAACTGTTTGAACCTAGGAGGTGAAGGTTGCAGTGAGCCGAGATCACACCACTGCACTCTAACCTGGCAACAGAGTGAGACTGCCTCTCTCTCTCAAAAAAAAAAAGGCAATTGCTATTTCAAAACAGAAAAAGTTCACAGAGGAAAAAAGGGCTTACGCATAAAAAAAGCCTTTGAGTTTATATGAAAGATGATGGCCTTCTGTGAGGGGACTACCTCTGTAGATCCTCTAGGATCCCAGACTCAGTAGAATTATGGGCCGACCTCACAGAAAGGCCAGTGCCACCATTGCTGGGTCTTCCACTGCTTCTCAGTAGTCATTTCGCAGCATCCGTCTCAGGGCAAAAGGCCATGTCCCCCTGTAAGCTATGAGAGTGTAGGAGTGTACACATGCATGGATGTATGCACACGTATGTCTATGTGTGTGTGGTGGAGGCAGGGGAGACTTGAAGACAGAAGAAAACTCTCAGAGCACCTTCTGTAAGATCAGTGTTCTCTTTTTTTTTTTTTTTTTTTTTTTCTGAGACCAAGTCTTCCTCTGTTACTAGACTGCTGGATGGAGTGCAGTGGCACAATCTTTGCTCACTGCAACCTCCACCTCCCGGATTCAAGAGAGTCTCCTGCCTCAGCCTCCCGAGTAGCTGGGACTACAGGTGCATGCCAGCATATCCAGCTAAATTTTGTATTTTTAGTAGAGACGGGGTTTCACCATGTTGGCCAGGATGGTCTCGATCTCTTGACCTCATGATCCACCCACCTAGGCCTCTCAGTGCTGGGATTACAGGCATGAGCCACTGCACCCGGCCAGGTCAGTGTTTTCTTAAGCTTTATTTACTTGGGAGAGAGGCTAGAGATGCCCTTAATGGGCAGTACCAATTTGCCAAGAGGAGAGTGGGGCTTAGAGAGAAACACCAAGGAAGAAGGTTGGAGAAGAAAGTGGGCCTGTACCTCTAAATCAGGGTAAGCAACACAGAGTACTGCAGAAGCCTCCACAAGCTCTGAAAGCCCAAGGCTGCTCAGGGCTCAGGGCAGGAACCTGACCCCGCCACCAAATGAACTGACCTCTCCAGTGGCATGTGCAGCAGCATATAAGGTGGGGACAGTGCATTCACACTCAACAAGCACAGGCCTTCCACTGGGCAGCCTTGCCATCAATGTACATTATAAAATCTATCTTACCTCCATCTTTACACATTTCACTAGAAAATAAAGTAACTTTCCTATCTGTACTTTTGCACAGGTAGGAAAGTGTCCTTCACTGGCTTCCTTTCCAGCCAGAGAGGGATGTTTCTGTGCCCAGAACCCTAAGGCCAAAGCTCCTATCACCCATCCTTCAAGCAAACCTGAGGAAAGCCAGAGCAAGAGGCTGACTTCTGGGCTGGGCACGGTGGCTCATGCCTGTAATCCCAACGCTTTGGGAGGCTGAGGCAGGAAGATCACTTGAGGCCAGGAGTTCAAGACCAGCCTGAGCAACATGGCAAAATACAAAAATACAAAATTAGCTGGGCATGGTGGCATGCGCATATAGTCCCAGCTATCTGGGAGGCTGAGGTAGGTGGATGGGTTGAGCCTGGGAGGCAGAAGTTGCAGTGAGCAGGGATGATACCATTGCACTCCAGCCTGGGCGATAAAGTGAGATTCTGTCTCAAGGGGAAAAAAAAGAGGCTGTCTTCTGAACTGAAAACAAGTCTTCACCTTTCCCATAAGATATTTAAGAGGAAGATGCAGGATTTGGAAAAGATTTAGAAAGAGGAATATTGACGATCAATAGGGGAAGCATCCACAAGGGAGGTTAAGGGAACTGAGGTTGAATATCCTGGAGAAGAGAAGTCCGAGGAGTGACTGCTATTTTTGAGTGATTTTACAAAAGACAGTGAACAGCTGTTGTGCATCAGCATGGAGGAGTGAATATCAAGACACGAATATAAATTTCCTTTGGGAATTTTCACTTACAGACTCTTCTCTAGGGGTGGCATGGAGGAGGGGCTGGGGAGTTGAGCCCTGGAATGTTATTAAGTGAGGTCCAAACTCTTCACTGGAGAAGATGGAAAAGCAGGCAACCTTCTCTATGCAGTGAAAATTCACTGGATGGCTACTGGACGCAGGTTTTGTGGAAGGCTGGGATGGGAAAATCCAGGGAGTGACTGTCGATTAAGGGCTCACGACAGACAGCAGGTAGAATGTTACCAGCGCTTGTAGACGTGAAGGTCCTCCAGGTGTGGAAGACCCACCACTGCAGGTGGGACAGGTAAAGGAGGACAAGGGGAGGTGCATCAGGAGAGGCTTCCTAAAGAGGCCGTGCATGACTGGGTCCTGGTGGGGCAGAGCCAATAGAAGTGGAAGAAAAGCACATCTGGGACAAAGAGAGCAGGAGCAGGAATGCCAGCGCAGTGGTGTGCAGACTCCATTCAGCTCAGTGGGGCTGGACTCCAGAATGAGCTGAGCAAGAAAACGGGGTCCTGCGGGGACTCTGGAGTCTCTGCTACCGGGCCCTGCCTTTGTCACGGAGGCTCTGCAGCACATCTGCAGAGGGACATGGCAGAGAACTGAGTCAAGAAAGAAAAAGTTGGGGAGAAGAGGCTGGAGGCAGAGAGACCACACCGGAACTTGCGGAATGTTCCACAGGAGGCCACGAAAGGGGCCCACGTGGATTGGTGTGCTGGGGGCAGGTTTGGAGGGCAGCACTGGAGCAGTCCAGCTGGAGGGTTGGGAGACACTGTGCAGACAGTGGGCCCCGGGAAATCTGCAGGATGACATTCCGTAGAAAGTATGTGGCTGCATACAATTTGCCTGTGCCACAGTCTTTGGCCAACACAGAGGGTTAGTTAATTGGCAAATATTAAGGCAAATTCTGCTCTAACATAGTTCTTGCACATACAGATACTGTTCTACAGTGGCACTAAAAATGAAACAAAAAGTCCCCTATCCACTGCCAAGAAGAGGC